GCGCGGGCCGTGGATGCTTTGAACTCACAACTTCCGAAAACACCGTGGGCCCCGAGGCTTTGGGTTTGTGGCTTGTCCTAGTATGGGAGGTGCGCGAAGCACCGCGTTTGCCAGTATTTTCTGCGAGAGAGGCAGCAACAGTCGTGCGCGCGAAAGGGGGTTTTGGTGGGTAGAACCAACATAAGGGGCCATACACTTCTTTATGCCTGCGCTTTTGCATATTAGTCGCGCGGTTAGTCTCACGTTGCAGCTATTGGTATGCACAATATTAAGCCTCCCCAGACAGACTTCGCTTGATCAAAAACATGTAGTGCTTCACTGTGTTATACAAAATGCCACTAAATGATGCAGCGAGATGTACTGCTGAGTACGAACTACAATCGCAACGACATGCCTTACAATAGCACAACAGCAATGGCAACGGTCAAAAGCATTGTGTAGACGCAACCTGCACGTAATCTGTTGTTCCACAAAACTGCAACATGCAGTATGCGAAGCTGCAACCTTGAGTGACCAAAAACAGCTACACACACTAGGTTTAACAGATTGCACATTTCACTTTGAGTGTAGAAGAGCATGTGCTTTGCGCATGTGTGTATAGCTCTCTCTCTCTCTCTCTCTGTATGTATATATATATAACCTACGGTACATGAGTACACATAGCGCGTAGAGGCTTATGGTCCATGGTACCCATTTGAACAAAAACCCTGTGTGCTTATGACAATGCAGAAGGATATGTAAATGTATTCATGCAGCATTGTACTGGTCAGATAAATTACAGCAATACAATCGCATGAGGATCCGCATACGCTGTCTCTTGACACGAAAGAGCATGTACCAGCACATGGTAGCCGAGATAGCACAAAATCATAGAACACAGTATTGACTAGTGGCTTGCTTTCAATAGCAAAATGTTGCGTATAGACTCATGTGGCAAGGGATGCAAAACTGCATGGTAACCATGTTTACGCATCTGTTGGAGTACAGATAAACTTAGAATTTACCAGGGTGTATGTGCGGTCTGTCTGTGACTATGCGCAAGTCCTTGCAACGGCCTGTGTACACAGACGCGCACACACACACACACACGTACATGCATACCTACATATGTATATTTGTGTACATTTTGTGCAATCATCTTACTTATGTACCTTGCATATTATGTTGTGTGAAAACATGTATGTATACATATGCATCTACTTACCTACCTACCTACCTACCCACCTACCTATCTGTTTATCTATCACACATATACATATATATATATAATATTGATTGCAGCTAGCCTTGCGAATCCTACGAACATCCACCAGGACCAACGAACTGCTCGTTGCGTTGCAAGAGGCCTCGCCGGCAGCGCAGCCCAGGTCCGACCAACCTGTAAGTGCAACAGGGAGCGCTTGGAGAGCACCGCGAGACAGAGCCCAGAGGACAATACAATCCCATTGGAGTCCTTATACACCCACACCATCATCTGCGCCCAGCCCTGTGTCTATACTGTCCATACTGCGAGAAACCCCTAAACCTGTGCAACAAGCCCTGGAGCCTGCCCATTCTAAGGGATCTGGATTGCTGCAGAAGAGCGATAAGCCCATTCTGGCAAATCTCCGGCGCCGAGTAGCAACGCGACCTTCCAGCAATGAACCCTAAAGCCTACACCGGAAACTCTAGGGGGTCTGCGCACTACACGAGCGAAGACAGGAGCGCCTCAGCTGCGAAATGGCAGCAGTTTCTCTGGAGGAGGTGATACTGGCAGCCAGGCCACTCCCGAGCCTCGTGTTCAAAACAACATCGTAAAATGCCGTTTCGTCTCCCCTCTACGGCCCCAACAGATTAAATAATGTGCAACGGAGCTTCTAAAGAACCGTAGAGCTGCGCAATCTGCTGCTCCGAAAGCTTTGTCGGAGTCCTCAGCTCGCCAACAAACCCAGATTTAGCAGACCAACGGATCCTTTGGTTAAGGGCTTTTGGTTCCATGGCTTTGGGCGGATGTCGTTTCGAGCTGTCAACAGCATCGTGGAAGATTTGCCTAGGAAAATCATCCCAGAACCTTTGAACAACTCGCTCTTGCCCTGGTGGCCCATGACAACCCGACTCGACAATTTGGTTACATCTAGTTGGTACTTTACCTCTCTGCACGGTAAATGTCGCCGAAGGCGACATGAAGAGCACATGGCTCAC